GGAGAAACACCTTTTGTAATTTTAGTTTGGTATTTTACTTCTTCCAAAAGAGCACAGAGCAGAAAGAGGAACATGTTATGAGTCCCAGAGGTTATCTGTGAACTGTGTTTAAGTCGTATTCATGAACAAATAATATCCATGAGTGGGTTAACAAAGACATTATTACAGTGAATGAGTTCTTAAATGATTTAGTTCTCATTTACATATGCATAACACCTAGGAGTAAAAGTTCTGAAACTAATGAAGCTGTACTGTGTGATATCGGTGCAAGTGAAATCAGAAGATAAATTACTGACCTTGTAGAAGCAGCACTACCAAAGATGACTCAGAAGGGCAATAAGGAGCTGCAGAGAAGACTGAAAAGGAAACGATTGTGTAGCCCAAGTCTTAGCTATTGATGATAAATCACTGCCTCGGAATGTGAATTGCTATGTTCCTCAAGAAGTAACTGAGTCTCTCAGAAAAATATATTTTATTCCTGATCTTTCAAGAGCTGCTCTCAATGCCAAATCTAAATCAGACTCTTCTTCTAGCTATTCTTCATTCAAAATAAAAACAGGACGGAAAAAAAATGTATTTGCTGCTTTTTCAGAGTGTAGCAGAATCTGTTAGTTCCTTTTCACTTTTACTGCTTCTAATGTTTCACAGCAAAGGCAAACCTCTAAACTCCAATTCCAATGTACTTACATCTGTTTTGCTCTTTTAAATATGTTTTTTTTCATTACATACCATTCATTAACGAAAGAATGCTTCTTTACTTGGACAGGAAAGATTTAAAGGAATGGACAAGACTACAAAGCACATAAATTAACGGTTTTTTCCTAGAAATAGTTTTTCTTAGACATAGGCAGCAGAACACATTGATGAAAAACAATATATAAAATAAATAATCTGATTTTCTATCTTATTACAAATCTAGCCTCAAGACTTGCATAAAGATTGCACAACTGAGAGACTCAGTACAATTCATTTTAACAGAAGTACTGCCTGGAACAGAAAAAAACCCTCTTTCCTCCAGCTATGCTGCCCACAAAGGGAGATTGAACAGAACATCGGGAGAAAATGGTGCCACTGGGACACAGGTTGATGATTTTCACTGCAATTCACATTTTGGAAAGCTGTGTAGTGAAATGGTGGCAGTAACAGCTATACTTGAAGCTAATCAAGTGAATTCAGTAGTTTTCTTCTTTGTTTGCTTTACAAATGTTTCCTAATGCACAAGAAGCAAACCCTTATTAACGAATTCTATGGGACACAGAACAGAGGGAAAGTAATTGAAAAACAGTAATATCTCAAAAAAGTAAAGCAGAACAGGCCTATTAAAAAGGACTTCTTTTTTTTTTTTTTTCAGAGCCACAGGTTTAAATAGTCAAAAAGCAACCCCAACATCGAAGCTGTCATTTATACTCTGCAGTCGAACCTGAGAAGTGTCACTGAAGGCTTTTTAGTGAAACATCACAATGTACTGGGAAAAGACAAGCAGGCTTTTGCGGCAAATTCATACTTAGCCTGTTTCATTTCCTTTCCCTATGCCCTGAGTTTAATGGTTTACTGGCACTTGTTATTCAGGATTTATACCAAAGAAATTCAAGGTGCCCTGGCTTTATAGACCTTGACATCACTTTCTGTTCATAGTTATTGATATAATCAAGAAATGAAACAATACTAGAAAGACCAAGGTTATGGACAAGAACTGCAGCCATAAACTGCAAGGTATGGCCTTGAACACTGTTGTGCCCATCTCTGAAAGAGAAAAGGACATTGGGAATAAACTCCCTCCTTTTCAGCTTTCTCTTATTATTTTTTTCCTTCATTTCCACCAATACATAGTCATTCTTACAGGATGAAATGAGAACAGATTGGGGCTTTTTGATTCCTCTCATAACTTGTGCATTTAACTTCAAATTTAACTCTAATTGCCCTGTGTTTCAAACAATGTTAAGCTACACAGACTTGCAACATCTCACTTATCTTCTCCTAAGGAAATACGTCAGAGTGCATTGTGCTACATGAATATTCAAAAGAATGACAACTTAACTTTGACTTTTTTTAAATGTCCCTTTTTACTGGAAAAAATCACACTTTTTTGTTCCAGGAAAAAGCATTTTTCACATTAAATCCCATCTTACATCTTCCCTTAAACATACATTTATCAGTACATTACCATTCACAACTGTGGAATGCAGACTTATACATCCTTACCTGAGAGAAAAATGATACAGTAAATTTTAGATATTTTTCGATATTTATGAAAAACAGCTGCAAATCTGAATGATTAAGAAATAATGTGCTTCACCATCTGTCATTCAAGTGACTTGTTACTTCACAAATTAAATCAAACACTAATGGCCATCTAAAATCATCTTTTGCTTGTCATCTAGTGTAACTATTTGCTTCAGAAATTTCTGCTTTCAGGATGATGATGACAATATTTAATCATGGATTTCCAGACAGAAATAGCAACACGAAAATCTTACACTAATCTCACTGTTTTTAAAGACGAGTGTTTTGTTTTAAACAATACTGTAATCTTGCAGGAAAAGATGTGATCTTCTGTGGGTGATTTGGTATTTTGCATTTCAAAACTTAAAAAAAAGTTAAAATATTTAAAACTAAAATCAAATTACCTAAAATTGTGAGCAAAAAATATGGATTTTCCTTGTAGCGTAAAAAGTTATTTTGGGATTTCTGGTTCCTTGAAGAAAACCCGAAATACTACATTTAGTAGTAATTTAACACAAAACTTCATTCATTTGGGGTTAATTTTTGCAGCAGTTGAAATCAAAATGCAATTTTTTGTGCAGGTTGTGAAGGTTAATAGCTTTAGGAGACCTTTAAGTTGCTCTTGAAGTACTGCTTGCCTTGCCCTTCAATATAACATGGAAAACTAGCCAATAAGAATTTGGATTTTAGAAAAAAGACAACCAACCTTCTTTTGGAAAATGTTGTTAACACAACTGAGTATGCCAAACTGGCAACCTACACGCTTACTGTGATTTCTAACCTCTCTGGGGCATGAGTGACACAGTGTTCAACAGGATTAAGCTACATTATTTGCTGGGAAGCTCTACTGTTTTGGTTCTCAAGCACTGCACAGACAGATTTCCCTGTCTATACTTTGAAAATTTGGAGACAAAAATCCTTTCATTTAGTACCTATGATATTCCAATTATGAATAATTCTACGAATAATTTTACATGGACAGCTGGTACTGCTAGATTTGCTAATTAAATAATAAGGTAAGTCATTAGGCTCTCAAGTGTTCTGGAATTATTGAAGTCTTGGACAACGTTGAGGCAATACTTATCATTCCTGGCATATCTGTAAAAACAGCAACCAGCAAAGTGCATTTATAAATCGATGGACGCAGAAGTTAAGTATTGTACTAAAACTATAGAGTTAAGTCTTCTACCTGTAAAATGTGTGCAAGGCACAAGTGTAAATCCGCAGCAGAAGAACAGTGGAAGTTATGTCCAAACCAGTGAAAAAGATATGCCGTTTAATGATAGACTGTGATTTGACAACATATTTTTATGGTTTCATTTTAATACATGGTTTAGTCCAGAAATGTCTGTTCATATACAGTCACAACCTCTTCCCTGACCCCAAAAAATTGCTTATACAGTCCCATAAACTTCTATTTATGCCTACATATAGACACACAGATGTACACTTACCAAAGGTGAAAGTGACACTATGTTTTAGTGTGTTGTCTTCTTTTATAATAATACCAATCTTTCTTCTGCAATGATTTCCAGTTAACTGATGAAAAGTGCTTTAGAAGAACCGAATATTAACAATGTTGTATGTGGGGTCAGATGTCCCTTTTGTACATGGTAGCAATGATCAATAGATATATTAGCAATAATAAGTATACCTATAAGCAAAATCTTGTACAGTACAGTCCCAGCCAGCAGGAAAGATGTTAACTGGGACCAGATATTAAATGAAAAATTGCTTTATTTTTCTTATAGGAAGGTGTAATATGAGTTAAGGAGGGCACCATAACATTTATATGTAAAATGATGTAATTATGTCAGTTGAAATGTTATAAAAATATTAACCAAAGATATGAAAGTATGGGAAATTTTAGCTCTTTGGTTTTTTCCCTCTGGTAAAACTAGAAACGGTAGGAAACAGCATTTTTTACAGAGAAAATAAAGGAACTGTTCATAGAGATCCCTGTTATTCCTCAGTATTCACAATAAAAATGAACAAGAGACCTCCCAGCACAGATCCAGCATGTCTGGTTTCATTTTAGCCACAAAAAGAAAACCCGTGGTGTAAATGTGTGACATACTGTGCTGAAAATGGTAGCTGGGCTAGTACTTGACACAGCTGAAGAGGGAAAGACAGGAGTGAAAATTTTACATGACTTGCAAGTTTTCTTCATGTATTCCCTGCACAAAGCAGAGCTTGTCTTCATTTGTGCTTAATGGAAACTATGGTAGCTAACAGATGTTATGATGACTGCAGAAAACAACAGATTAGGATCACCAGCCAAGGGAATTGTTAGCTTCTGAAATTAGACAGGATACTGCAGTTGCTCATTTCCTACAACCTAGTGTTACTCAAATCATATCTAATAACTGGGGACAAGAAATATACTTGCTGACCACAACAGCAAAAGACATCAGGGTCAATAAAGGCCAAAACAATGTGTCCAAATAAAACACCCTGTAAACTTATTCCATGATGAGATGTACAGAAAGAAAGTGATATTTTAGATAGCCAAATATAGGTAGCAAATATATTACTTGTAAGAATCAATACAAAGAAAATTAGAGAAGATGTTCACGTTATTTTTCTTAGGAAAAAGAGGATCTCCAGCCAAGAAAAAAATAATTAAGAGAGTCAGATTAAAAGGGAAATCACATAAAAACATATTCGTCTTTTCTTTGACTAACTCTAATAATCAATTGCAAGAACATTTTTAATGGATGTTGAAATGCTAATCCAAATAAAAAAGGCTAAATATCACTATTACTTCTTTCTTTCAGGTAGTAAAAATGATGATTGTGGTTGTGCTGACATTTGCCATCTGCTGGCTGCCCTACCACATTTACTTCATAGTCACTGGTATCTATCAACAATTAAACCGGTGGAAATACATTCAGCAAATCTATTTAGCCAGCTTTTGGCTTGCCATGAGCTCTACAATGTACAATCCCATTATCTACTGCTGTCTTAATAAGAGGTAAGAGCTAATTATGAAATGATGTGCATCACTTCAATGAGAATATAAATGGTTTAAATGGGATAAAAGACGAAGAATATTCCCTTGAATAGTTTTCAGTTAGTTGGAAAGAAAACAAAATGCAAAAAAACTTTCTTTAGGTTTCTACTTGAAATGAATACCAAAAAAACCCAAAGGTGTGCTTCCAGTAAATACTTTGGCCTATTTAAATTTCAGAGCAAAAATCAGTTTTCTGAACCCACCCCTTCCTATTTCCATATGCAAAATTAAAAAATCTATAGCATTTTAATATATTTTGGCTTGCAAAACATTAAAATAACAAGGTAAAGACAGTCAGTAGTGATATAAAGTGCAATCTGTATGTTCACTAACTAATTGTAGCTCTAATTTTGTTTTGCAATGCTGGAAGGATATAATATAGAATGTGATGTACACCTCACCATTAGATTTCGACCATGCTCTGAGATGCGCAACAGGCTAATAAAACAAATATTTACATTCTCATTACTCAACACCTAAATTACAGTACTGTTTGACAGCAATGCATTATGCTCTGAATTTCAAAGGCACTGCACCTGTTGAGTTTGATGAGATTTCACAGATATTTGCTAGTATGAAACTACTGCATTGCAGAATGAACTCATGTTTTTCATTTCAGCTTGTTGGACCAGGATCTAAACAAATATCATCCTGGCTGTCCTGTTCGTCAGTATTTCTTTCAGTATTACTTGACAAACATCACCAAGAACAACAAGTCATTTCACAAGTTCAGTTAATATGAATCATTATTCATATTAATAAGTAATAAGTCATCTTAAATATTATTTTAAATCTCTTTTGAATTAGCAGCCAGTGTCAAGTTTAATTACTGACAAGCTTCATACCAATTTTGCAAACTATTTCTAAAAACCCCTAAGGATCATGCAATACTTCACAAAAGGAGTGTAATTTAAAATGAAGCGAACAAATCCTGACAAGATGTTATTGGTGTAAAAACACTGCAGTCTTCCTCCCAGATAACCTATGATAATTAACGGTCATGATCTTTTAAAAAGGCAAGGTAATGCCTGACTTCATACAGCCTTCTGTCCCTTTTGATAATTTATAACTGTTTAAAGAAGAGGTGAAGTTTTAGCATGCCAGAAAAAACCCTTACTCAAATGGCATATTTCCCAGTAATTTCAACAGAAAGCAAATTTCAGTCTCCAGTGTGTGCAAAATCAAAGGCAAAGTAGGATGAGACCTCATATTTTCCCAATTACTACCATAAAACTTCTAAAACAATTCTATTTTCTTCAAAAAGTTTTTATGACACTGTTACAAAATAAGCTATTAATAAAAAATTAGTATCTCTGATGTGGCTTACACTGACAGTCATACACTGCAAAATTAAATATCTGGATTAAAGAATACAACCAAAGAAAAACTAATAATTTTGAGAAACACTAAAGGTCGCCCTGTTCAGAATTTAATGCAAGAATGAAATACTGTTGACAGTTTTCTTATAATTAAGTTCCATATTGAAATCAAGAAGCCGGAACATCTGCCTCCTTTTCATTTAGTAGGAAAATAGAGCTTGTTGCTGGGAGTCAGATCAATTCATGCAGTATTGTTACTTCTGCTGGATCTAGTATCAGATAGAGTTATAACACCTATCACCAGCCTCATCTTCTGGGCTAATTAGGATATTACTTACATATCTAGATAAAGAGACATTTTTTCAAGATGAGGAAAAAACATGCCCTGAATTAGAAAGAGGATGGAAGTAGCCAAGAAAAGTAATACAGTTTGAACATGTTTAGGTTTTACAATTCCCTTCACTAAATCTATTGCCATCAGAGGTTCTTTCAATATCTTTCCATAATGTGAACTGCATGTAAACAGAGCAATGCTGAAGAGCAAGCTACATGCTTGTCTGTCATCATGCAAGAACCCCATGGCAAACTGAAAAAATCGAGGAGGAAAGAAAGTTACTCCTGTAAGATCAGTCAGTATTCACTGAAAATTTAATCTGAATTTTTATTTGCAGTCATCACTGTGGTATTTGAACCATTGCTCCAGAAAGCTTACAGACAGGATAAACAACACAGCTGATTATTGAGAAGAGAAGCAAGACAAGGGAGAAAGTCTGATAAGCTTTAGGTCTAGGTGAAAAGATGTTCTTTTTCCATTTACACATAAATATACAGGAAATTGGTTTTCTAATATATTAAACTTCTACAAACAAAAAGTAATGATAGTCTTTAAGTAAACCTCTGCCTCTGCATTGAAATAAAATAACACTGTACGAGTATTGCAAGCACTAATGCACTAAAGCCTCAAAATTCCCATTTGTACATTGTTCACAGTCAAATTTCAACTTTCTAGGATCCTCTTTAATTATTAAAAATTATTTTCTAAATATTTTAAATGAACAATTATTAGTCATTACATCACTCCCGTGTAAGCATCTCTGCTAAGAGGGAAACAGAGAAGGGATGTTGGAATCTGGAAACTGGGATGGTATTTTAGAGAAAAGAATATTATGAAGTTTCTCGATGAAAAAAGATGAAAATGTAGGTGCAGATTTCATCAGAGGTCAAACCAAAACAATTTCTATGAAGACAGTTCTATGAAAGTTGGTGTTTGTTTAATTAGGCATGGGCAAAAGACAGGACATTCATTATCAAGGAAATACCAATGTTGAAATGCAGGTAAAGCATATAAAAAATCAGAAACTGAAAGCTGTTACCAGTATCTTTTTTTACCTTACTCAGACTTTAGTCTAGGAAACTCCCACTGACTTCACCACATCCAGGACTAGGGACAGGGTAACTAGCAGAATCAGTGTCCTGCCAGCACAGTTATGTTTTCAGATGGAGGCATGTGGTTGGGTCTCATAAGCACAGGCTTTCATCAAGCATCTTTCCTCCTAGGTTCCGAGCTGGCTTCAAGCGAGCTTTCCGCTGGTGCCCCTTCATTGAAGTGTCCAGCTATGAGGAGCTAGAGCTCAAGGCAGCCCGGTTCCATCCCACCCGGCAAAGCAGCCTATATGCTGTGTCCAGAATGGAGTCCAGCATGACAGTGGTGTTTGACACTAATGATGGAGACAGCATGCACGCCAGCCACAAGAAAAGAGCACCTCCGAGGGACTTGAATTTTAATGGTTATTCACAGAGGAATTCCAAGACCGTCTCCACAGCCTCAAGTCTCATCAGTTCACTGCACACTTCAGCAGATGTTTATTCCTAAACATTTCATGGTGACAGCTGCTAGAAGGACAGCACTGGACAATCGTCTCCTACTTTGGGACTAGATATTCATACCACGGGAAAGCAAAACAGATTCCACTGACAAATTCCAGCTATAAATGTTGTGAGACTTTTATGTATCACTCACTTTTTTGCTTTGGAGAGAAAGAGGAACTCGAAGACATGCATATGCCTCAGTCCAAAAGCACAATTGCACCTTATACACAACGTCTGTAGGGCTTATCCAAAATAAGCCAACAGCATAAAATCATTGTTTCAGTTGCATCTGACCTGTGGCATTTATGTCTCACTGAAATGTAACTGGCCTCTTTACTTATTGAAGCTGAAATGTACAATGTTTTCTATTATGAGTGTATTAATTCTACAGTAACAAAATTATATGAGATTTGATAAAAAATGTCTTTATAATGAAGATCTAATGAGCTCCAAGTCTATTAGATTTACAGTTTAGCCCCATTCCCAGGCAAATAGACAAAATGCAAGCAAATGACGTTCAGCTCTGTCTGCAACAGTACAATTTTTCAAATATATAAGAAAAACGCTCCTATTAAACATGAGACCATGACCAAAAGACTAAGTTAAATTCTACCAAAGTTTCCATATTTTTTGAACGTTATACTCCAATGGAATGTGTACTTCCAGTAGGATGTACTGCTTTGATAAATGTCCTCTAGCTTTGTATCTCAGTGTTAAGTGTAAGGTCTGCCTCCAGCCACCTTAACAGAACCTTCCTGATTGACTTGAGAAAGGTCAAAAGGTTTTAAACTGGAAATTCATATATAAGAAAAATACCACTGTGGCAATGGACTCTGCAGAAGATAAAGTAACATGTTTCAGTATGAGAAACCTTCACCAGGAAAAAAAAATATTTGGGCTATTTTCACAAATTTTCCATAGGTTGATGTATGTAAAAATACTCCTCTGCCTGCATCTGAAAACATGCTAGGCATTATTACCTAGACACTTTCCCATCGAATTCAGCCAAAATCCTCTGACCATCAGTGGATTTTGCAAAGTGCAAAGAAAGCTGAATGAAATAAAAAAGGGACCAGAGAGCAGACTGTTTTAGCTAAATGACTGTGTCAGTTGCCTGGATCAGCTGGTTGCGTGATTGTTTGTTCTCAAGCAGTTAATCAAAACATAAGCAGATGAGTGTGAATGTCTTCCTGCGTTAGCCAAACCAGCACAGGGCAGTAAGATCTGGCTGAACCCAACACAGCACCAAAGCTCAGCAACTAACAAAGAGAAGTTTGAAGAGAGAAAGGTTGGAGCTGGCTTTAGTCCACACTCCTTCTCAGTGACTGGGGATGATCAGCATTGTGACAGTGAGCATATCATAAGAGACCAGTAACAAGAATCATGTTTGTATTGTGATTCATCTGTATAGTCAATTGCTATATTCTGCTAAGTGTAATTTGTATTTGTATTGTGATTTCAGTGCACTGTGGTATCATTTACTAAATCAAAATCCTGCAAAAGGTAAAATATCCTCAAATATGTCAACTTGGTACATTAAACCCTCCCTGCATGGAATAACTGAAGAACCTGGTCACAGAGTATTGTACTCTGATAAAAATGTATCACAATTCCAGACTCACACTTTTCCTATCCAAGGCCTGATCTTAAATCCACTGAAGCAAAGAGCTTTGCTCACTTATGACTTTCCTTTTAAATGTCCGTCCATGCTTTTCAACAGTCTGTGTTCCCAAAAGAAACAGCTGGTTTTCATCATGCCATTTTTGTACTCTCACTTTTCCTTTCTTATTTTTTTAAAAGTGTGTAGTAATCCAGTGAGTGTCATGCAATGCCTATAAAATATTTTTAATTTTTTTCCCCTTAATTAATCTGTTTTAAGTACTTAAAAACCTTCACAAGGTGTTTAACAACTCTGTTGAGAAGATCCAGGATAGGCACACACACAGAAAAAAATGACCCTAAGCATATTAACCTGGTGGTGATGTATTATAAATGTATGCTGTGAAATCCTCTGTCTGCTCATGCACAACTTTTGAGGAACATACATAGAGAAAATGTATACTTGTTAAATAATCTGTCTTTTCTAACTATGGCTATTATAAATTCAGTGTTGACAAACATCAATACACAATATAAGTTTGAACAATATAAGTTTGTAGTGAGATGAATTTATTGGTTTTAAATGTAGAGTATAAGTTTGAAAAACCTGTATATAACACTACAGCATCCTAAATCAGCTTCATATAACTTTTGTGATCCCTGGTTGACAAATATCAAGAAAGCAATGACTTCCTGACACTTGTATCTTCAGTCACACAATTTCACTTTCCTAAGTGTTTTATGATATGACCTCTTGGACAAATAATCCACTTATAATCATCTCACTATATTTTGGTGGGTTAGGGGTGTCAAAAACACTCTCATCATTCCTGTAATTCTACTCTGAAGTTATAGGATACTCCTGTACAACAAATGAAGAAATCCGTGCTTGTAATCACAGCATTGCTTTAACGGAACATTACAGTGATACATGGTGTAAATCCATCTCTCTTTTTCAGCCCAGAAAAATGTGCAGGGTTACACAAGAGTTCAACAAGTAGCACAGCAAAAGCTGTGACTGACAGCAAATTCCATTTGAATTACTATTTCTGAACAAATGTTTTCAGTAAGAGTCCTGCTCACTATAAAATTCCTTATAGGCCTCCTGACACCCCTCACTGAGTATAGAGTACATCAGGACATCCTCACTTTGTGCCAGTAAGACTGCTCAAAGTAGTAGTCTGCACACAGAGTACATGCTTCTGGGGGATTGCTGTGCAGCACTGTAGCAGTCTCATGTCTGTACTGCAACATTCATTTCACATTCTTAACTTTTGCTGAGACGTGAGTTAAAGAGAACAGACAGATACAGAGATAGCTTCCTACTGAAGGGGCATAATAATACTCCAAAACAGCTACAATTCAACATCATCAGGAAAGGTCTTCTGATCTTGAAAATCTTCTGAAATATTAGTCCTTCTCAGGTATAAGAGTTTCTAGTACTTTGGCCCAGGCTCCAGTTGGTGTCTGTCTCTAAAATGTTTATATGATGAAAAGATTTCATGGCTCCCTAAACTGCCACTTTGTAGGGAGGTTCCCTCAGTAGAGGACAGGTTTAACTTTCACATTGCCAGAGACAGAATATTCAGCATCTTTTTTCCCTGCCATTTTCTTGACATTGGCTAAACTTGTAAAAAACAAAACAAAACAACAATAAGCAGTAAAAAAACACAAACAAACCAACAACCAAATCTAAAAAAAAAACCAAAATCAAAACAAAACACAAAAAAACCCCACTAAACAACAAAAGAACCAAAAGAGTTAAACATGTCTATATTTAAACACAGACCTTCAAACTAATTTCTTGAAGTTTTACAATATCTTTTGACAAGTCTTTATGGTGGTCCATTCTCCTCCCCACCCCCTCCTCAGAATACTCTACAACCTCAGGAATCCCTGCTGGGCATTGGCCTTTGTGTGACAAGTTGGGTGGCCAAGCATCCCTTGACACACCAGGAACATTTGCATGGTTAAGCTGGGAACATCACTGAGGTGAAAGACAAGAGCACAATCCGTCACTCCATAACAATCTTGGGACTTTTCCTTCCTGAACTGTAGCCCCAGGGGAACCATAGAATCCTAGAATCAACCAGGTTGGAAAAGACCTCTGAGATCATCAAGTCCAACCCTTGATCCAACACCACCATGGTTACTAGACCATGGCACTAAGTGCCACATCTGGTCTCATCTTAAAAACCTCCAAAGATAGTGAATCCACCACCTCCCTGGGCAGCCCATTCCAATGTCTGATTACTCTCTCTGTAAAAATTTTCCTCCTAATATCCAACCTAAACGTCCCCTAGCACAGCTCAAGTCTCTGCCCTCTTGTCCTACTGCTGGTTGCCTGGGAGAAGAGACCAACCCCCACCTGGTTACAACCTCCTGTCAGGGAGTTGTAGAGAGTGATGAGGTCTCCCCTGAGCCTCCTCTTCTCCAGGCTGAACAACTCCAGCTCCCTCAGCCTCTCCTCATAGGACTTGTGCTCAAGTCCCTTCACCAGCTTTGTTTCTCTTCTCTGGACCTGCTCCAGCACCTCAATATCCTTCCTGAACTGAGGGGCCCAGAACTGGACACAACACTCCAGGTGTGGCCTCACCAGCGCTGAGTACAGGGGAAGAATCACTTCCCTGGATCTGTTGGCCACACNCCATGGTTACTAGACCATGGCACTAAGTGCCACATCTGGTCTCATCTTAAAAACCTCCAGAGATAGTGAATCCACCACCTCCCTGGGCAGCCCATTCCAATGTCTGATTACTCTCTCTGTAAAAAATTTCCTCCTAATATCCAACCTAAACGTCCCCTAGCACAGCTCAAGTCTGTGCCCTCTTGTCCTACTGCTGGTTGCCTGGGAGAAGAGACCAACCCCCACCTGGCTACAACCTCCTGTCAGGGAGTTGTAGAGAGTGATGAGGTCTCCCGTGAGCCTCCTCTTCTCCAGGCTGAATAACTCCAGCTCCCTCAGCCTCTCCTCATAGGACTTGTGCTCGAGTCCCTTCACCAGCTTTGTTGCTCTTCTCTGGACCTGCTCCAGCACCTCAATATCCTTCCTGAACTGAGGGGCCCAGAACTGGACACAGTACTCCAGGTGTGGCCTCACCAGCGCTGAGTACAGGGGAAGGATCACTTCCCTGGATCTGTTGGCCACACTGGTCCTGATACAGGCCAGGATGCCATTGGCCTTCTTGGCCACCTGGGCACACTGCTGGCTCATGTTCAGCTTCCTGTCAATCCAAACTCCCAGGTCCCTTTCTGCCTGGCTGCTCTCCAGACACTCTGTCCCCAGCCTTTGTGGCTGGAGTTTTGGAAACAATTTGAAATTGTATTGGAAACAATTTGTAATTGTTTTGAAAACTCGAGTAATGACTGACCTGAGGATGAAAACTTTTACAGATGACTAAAGTAAACCATCTTGCAACCCTATAAATAGGCAACCCAAGTGAGGCCCTTTGAGCTGGACTGCAGTGGGATGTGCCAGCATCTCTGTCAGAGTGGGACACCTCTTGGAGCTTGCAAACTCTCACATTTGTGACAGCTAGAGGACAATTGCCTAAAGCTGATGACAGGGGCTAGGTTGATAAAGTTCTCCCACTCCTCAGGGCTCAACCCTCATCCATTGAGAAAA